TTAAGGTGTTTATTAGGTGTTCAGTCAAATAAGGGCTGAAATCAAAATTTTTGCACTCATTTTTGAATTTTTGATTTAATATAGTTTTAACGCCCTATAATAACTCAGCTAAAATTCTAATTTATTCCCCACTTCTCCGCGCCACTCGTTCGCACACTACGGCTCGCGGTCACGCTGGAATACAAGGTCAAAGCGATTTTGTTACAGTAAAATAAACTATTATCTGACGAGCACTAAGTAATAAAACTTTCAGTCACAATTTAATATCATTGTACATACTGTTACGAGATTAGGGTTCGTGAAAATAAAAACTGCCGATTGAATTACCAAATTTGACACTTTAATTACTGAACACCAATTAAAACTTAAATCACACTAATAATTAATAACACTTAACACTTTAGTTCTTTTATTTCGCTCCGAAAGCTTCGCTCGTATTGCCAATTCAATATTGCCCCGGTCGCGGCCCTCAACGGCTTTAAATAAGCCTTTTCCATCGAAAAATCCAGAATATTCCAGCAAATACCGGCACACGACCTAACAGGTGCAGAAAGTTCGAGTGTGGAGCTTTCTAGAAAGCTAAGTTCTTCCATTCGATACTAGATGGCGCTGTTGGTGGAAATTTTGAGAATGGCATTTTCTAGAAAGCCCTCCTCGCTCTGTTCCCTGACACTAGATAGCACTAGTGCCCGATACCCGGACATCAACTTAGGCGCGCAACGCGGCATATTCTTATAACCAAAAAGAACTATATTGAAAGTATAGATATATATATATATAAAAATTGCTATATATATATATATATATATATATATATATATATATATACACTAAAAAGTAGTATCTAATACAAGGTGAAAACTATATTATAAGTTTGTAAGATTGTAAAATGCAAAGCGTAAACTTACTACCAAGCTAGGGTTGCCAGCTCTTTAAGCCGAAAAGCCGGATAGACCATCCAGCTTAGCAAGACATTTTGGTAAAAAGGCCGGACATCCTTAATTATTCAGTCTTAGTATAACACGATAATATATTTTTAATGTAAAACAATGCTTATATCACTTACCATAAAATCCTTAATTAAAATTGAATGATTCAGTGTTTTTTTATTATTAATCATTTAATATTTATTACAATATTAACGCGGTCCTTCACTGCTGGCCGTATGAGGACGCTCAAGGTCGCTCAGCGAGCTATGGAGATGGCTATGCTCGGAGTTTATCTGCGTGATAGGCTCAAAAATGAGGATATCCGCAGTAAAACCAGAGTGACCGACATAGACCAACGGATTAGTAAGCTAAAGTGGCTATGGGCCGGCCATATAGCTCGAAGAACCGATAACCGATGGGGAAGAAAGGTTCTCGAGTGGCAGCCTCGTACCGGTAGGCGTAGTGTAGGGCGATCCCCCACTAGATGGAGTGACGACCTGGTAAGACATGCAGGAAGTCGATGGATGCAGGTGGCTCAGGACCGTGCTTTGTGGCGTTACTTGGGGGAGGCCTATGTTCAGCAGTGGACTTGTGAAGGGCTGTAATGATGATGATGTTGATGATGACAATATTAATTTCAATAATTGCAATAATATGTATTTAAGTACATGAAAAATGTAAAAATATGGTCAAATAAAAAAAAAACCTAACAAAAGCCGGACAGGCCGGATACTGTCTAATTTGGCCGGACACGCAATCAAAGAGCCTGACTGTGTCCGGCTTTATCCGGACGCCTGGCAACGCTATATCAAGCTAATCCACCTACAGAACTTCAGTGCAATGGTGATTCGCGCTTGAATATTTTTTTGTAGCAGTAGAATTTATGCGGTGGTTTAGAATCGGTTTGCAAAATTTCTTATATAGGTATATGTATATGTAGGTACTTGCATACACCTACTACCAACATAATTACATACGTAAACGGCTGTCACATAACGTACAAAACGAACGAAAACTATAAAACTCAAGCTTACTACTAAACCAACAATGGGCGGATTTCCTCTTATATTGGAAGGATTCCAATATAAGAGAAAATCCAGTATAAGCTGACATCTCATCGTACGTAACGCGTTTACAGTTTGAGGTCAGCTTATACTGGAATTTGTAGTTTGATAATTATGTAGTAATTATGTATGATAAGTATGTACTAATAAAATATCTGTTACATGTTTAGGAGGTACTCACGTACCACTTTTTCTCTAAACTATCAGTACTCAGTACTCAATAGGTCCACAATTTTTACGTACTTATATAGTAGGTAGCATCACAGTCAGATAAGTTATTTTTTTTAAAAACGTTACCCCCACACTAGGATTTTCTCCTGTATCATGGAGGCAGTTTACAAATATAAATTGCACAAGGACAAAGATCCAGATCTGGAACAATTATTTGTAGGTCATACAAATACTTGTTCCGTGCGGGATTCGAATCCACGGACTCCAGCGCAGCAACTCATTGCTAAGCCAGTGCGCCACGGAGTAACGATAACGTAAGGATGGATAAGTAAGTTACAGTTTTATTTCTTTATAGTTAGATAGGGAGGTAGTTAACGAATATACGTATATTTTTTATTACTAAGTACTTGGCTTCTGCACTACGGGTCGGGGGGTTAGATTCCCATTCGGAACAAATACTTTTATGTCCTACAGATAGTTGTGAAAATTTGTGTTTGTAATCGCACCGTCTCCGATTCAGGAGAAATCCTGGAGTGGTACAACGTTATAAAACAACAATTGCTACATAGATAGATATATTATTTTGTTGAATATTGACAAAACAAAAACAAACCTATTTAGGTAACTTTTTATCTATTTTTTTCATAAAGTTGCCTAACGCTCGATTTCTCCTGAATCGTGAATGGTGTATTTGCAAACACAAATCTTCACATACAGAAACACCTGTTACTAGTAGCGCAGCAACCAATTGCTTAGGCGCTGCACCAAACCTGTCATATGCTAAATTTCTACATAATATTTGTAATCACTAATACTGTAAGTAGATAGGTCGGTAAATACTTACTTCATTACATTTGCCCGTTTCTTTACGCCAACCCAATCGCTTTTTATTTTTATTAAGCTTATTTCCCATTGCGCCAACACTATAAACCTAAGTATCTATTTTAATATTTTAATTTTACGTCATCCTGTTGCGTAATGTGTGTTATGAGCGTAAGCGACACAGCCCTCTCATTCAAAAGCCGTAGCAAAAGTGAACGGCGATGTCGAGCGACAGGGAAAAACTTTAAAACATCGATAGTTTAGGTAATTTCTTTTTACGGTGAAAATAATGATAATTTAAAAAATGTAAAAAACATAAGCCCTGCTTTATAGTTAGTTTGCAAAGTTTCATGATCTAATTTGAAGTATTTTTTGAATAACAGCGGTTTATGGTTCAGTTTGGAGGTAACTGTGATTTTTTTTCTGCCGAGAAAATTTTATGGAATCGTGTTTTCGTCTAACTTAAACGTATTTAAAAAACAATGCTGCAGTATTTTTTGGCACATCTGTTGTGCTGTTGTGATCTTGCTAAGCCATTTGAAGTAGTATAGGCTCTTAATTATACAAAAACAATGTGTAAAGGTTTTATATCTGCAACCCCCGGCTAGAGTTTAAAAAAAATGTGAAAAGTAATTTTTCGCTATTTCTCGAAAACAGTAAAAATTAGACAAAAAAGTTCTTATAAAAATGTGTAGAGCTTAAAATTTTACATAAAAAGGTTTGGCAAAATTAACCGAGTTAGGGAGGTTTTCATTTTAAGGGGTGAATGTAAATTAAAAAAAATGTAGATAGTATAAAAATAAGCGAATTTTAATTTTTTTTATTGCAATGATCTAATCTTTTATTTCAGAGACACAGATATTTTAATTTTTAAAAAAATATAATTATTAGTAGGTGGTCGTTTGAATAAATATTAGCCATAAGGTTATGGAATGAACTTCCACTCCAAATTCAACGTGCACAAACTTTGGAAAGTTTCAAAAATGACGTCAAGAAGCATTACCTAACACTTTGTGGTTATTGATAACCATTTCTAGCAACAGATAGTTATTCTGTGTTTTTTTTTCCTCTTTGTTTTGTATTTATTTATTTATTATCTATGTATATATGTGTATGCGTATATATTTATATATATACCTATTTATTAATATGTATGTTTATTTTATTATTATTTTTTATGTATTATTGTGGTATTTTAATAAATATAGTTTAGTTTTTTTAGATATTAGAATGTATGTGTAACATAAAACGCACCACCTCCTACTGTTCTTAATTCCAGTTTCTCCTTAGCCCAAAGGTTGTCTGGAAGAGATCGCCCTTTAGCGATAAGACCGCCTTATTGTACATACGTATACGTTAAGTTTTCTCTGTAATGTGTTTATTCGTTGTATATGTGTGGTGTACAATAAAGTATATACTAACTAACTAACTAAATATTGTTGGTTTGGTAATATAAATGAAATATCATAGCAATAAATCAATCCCAAAAGTCGTCAACTACTCAGACTACAATTGTCTGATATACAGATAATGGAAGTAACAAAACCAGAAAAATAGGAAAGTAGAAAATGGCCAAAAATAAAAGAGTTAATTTGAATCGGCGTGCAGTTCCCTTTAGTCAAAAAAACCTGCAACACTTGGAACGTACAGTGGGCTAAGTGTGTTTGTAGGCTGGGTGTAATGCCCAGAGGATTCCCTAAAATCTTGGATATTACTGTCCTTATTAAATTATTTGGAGCTACATTTAATGAGCTTCCATATCAACTAATTCGGATTAGACTTCTACCCACATGTAACTTCTCATTCAACCATTTCACTGCCCAATTTATATTTATCGCCATCATGTATTTATATAATATCTTATTTAAATATTTGTTACTACTTTTTATTTTGTTATTACTGGTCAGTTTCGATCGCCCAACTTGTTAATGTACATGCATTATCTTACTGACTAAACTTTAATTTAAATTCGTTATTTTTTGTAAGATATTTAAAATTTATTACGAATATAGGTTTAGGGCTTAGTTTGTGTGTCGGTAACGACTTGGCTGCCTTTGGCGATCGCCTTGGCCTTGACGATTTTTGAGCCAGAAGCGTTTGCTGTGGCAGTAGCGACTCCTTTGTCATGTGCGTGCGCTGTAGCTTCGGCAGATGATGAGTCATGAGTACTAACTGTTGCAGTGGCGACTCCTACGTTGTATGAGTGTGCTATAGCGGTTGCAACCGATTTGCCGTCTGCAACTGCCGTAGCAGTTGAGGTTCCTGTACCATAGGTCAATGCTGTTGCAGTAGCAACTGCTGCACCCGAGGCTATTGCTGTAGCAGTATGTGGTCCCGTGCCATCGGTGCCCATCACAACGGTTGTGACCGCTGGATTAGAGCCAACGGCTTTGACGGTGATGCCTATCTCATGACTTCTTGATGCTGTAATGATAAAGGCCACCATATAAACAATATCTATGAATAATTTTATAGAAATTCATTAATAATTGCAAATAACACCAGTAACCAAATTAAACTAGCAAATGTATTCTAAGAAGCTCCTAATATATATTTATATCTCCAAAATGAATCAACACACATACAAGAAACTTGTCGGCGGCGGCGCGAACGATTTTCCCAGGGCAGCGGCAAACTGGCGTTGTACTCATATCTATCCTCGAGACCTGCTAATAGGGCAAACATCGATTACAATTGGTCGTTAACATTTTAACTCACTTTTTAACCTAATAGTCTCTCTAAAGATGTCCTGCCTGAATCGCATGAATTTACCCGCACTAGCCACTGTTAACTTGCTGGTGGTAAGTGAGTTCTGTAAGCAATAGACACCTACATCTATTTTCAATTAAGAATTAAAATATATATGCGTTCCAACTGTTTAGGATTACGATTAAATGCCTTGTTACAAGTAAACAGGGTCTCCGATTCTCGTCATTTACCATAATAAAACAGAGCAGCATTATTCTGCTATTTGTGCTGCTGTATTATATTCTGTAAAAGCTTTGTTATTTAAAGTTCGAGTTACACTTTTCATGATTTAACCGCAGCGTTACTTCACCACGTATAGCAGTGTCAATCACGTCATCGTCAGTATTTTAATGTTGCCATGAGAAAGTTTTAATAATATCGTAGCTTCTAGCAGTTAGTGGAGTACAGAGTTGTTAGCTACGAAGGACATTGTTATTACTGACATCAGTTTAAGTGCCAATAGCAATTTAAACCGTAGCAAACTTTACAAGTAAATTTGATGATAACAATGTTTAAATTACCTAAAGGAGTAGAGGAGTATTTTTCGAAGAACGGAAATCCAGTTTGACTAGCTATGATTATCATTCTAAAATCTTCATGCACAGGAATAATACCAGATGGTTTGTCACCAGAACTATTCATAATTTTCTTGGAAATCATCCTTATACCATCGCTCAGTACCATCTCTCCATTTTCCATCAAAGTGTTTAAGCTGCTAGTCACTGTTGTTGGCGCTTTGTCCGCTTCGTCCACGACTAACACATAGCCATATTTAACAGCTTTGACAAGTGGTGAATCTTCGTAAATGACTGTTTCATTTTTGATATTTTGGTGTACTGTCAAAGACTGTATCGTTGTATCTCGGTGCAATTGTGTATATTTCGTAGGGCGACTCAAATGTTGTAATAGACTCTCTGCAATTTTTTTATTTTTTAATCCCCGTTTCTCAACTAGCACTAGATGATTACCCCGTTGAATATCTCGTAGCAATAGCTCAAGTACTTTTTTATGTTGCGGTAAATCACTGAATATTATATCGTGGACTTCATTGAAAGCTTCAGTTCTAGACATATTTGCACTGGTTTTTCCATTTTTTAATGTTACATTTTTGATAATGGGAATTTGTAGTCGTGTTAAAAGAACTTTGCCGTACTGAAAATAAATAAATATTTTTCGTAAGTTATTATGAAAAACTTTATTATATACAACACAAATAACTTTTTAGTTTTGATTAACTTTTGTATTATATTTAAAGTACATAATAGGGTGTTATTCACGAAAATTGTACATTTACTACTCTCTCCGCGTCCAGCTCGCTTATTTTTTATTTGCTGTTTCAATATTAGCAAAATTTTATTTACCCTAATTCTAAAAGTGTAGAACTACAATTTATAATACTCAGTAAAATTATCGAAACTAAAATATATTCCAATATTTCAAATTTTCAAACTGTGCCCACAGAAATTTCATACATAAATTCATGTCCATCTTTACTTAAGATAACATTAAAAATTTATTTAAAAAAATCGAATTAGTTTAGAATACAACTTAAAAGTTTTTTTGGTATGGTTATCCATTAAAATACATTATTCTATGAAATAAATAAAACAAACAGTAATGTATACATAATATTTACATATTTAAATGAATGTCCAATATTATACTCATCTCTGTTTTTCTTCTCGGTTACAGTGTTTTACAACATTATTACTAACTTGGAAATAAAATTATTTACTGGCAACATTACACAACAAACACTGTAAACAGGTGACGTGACTGTCGATTCGGCCATTTGTTCTTTCACTCAGTGCCATCAATATTGTGTGTAACATTCGACATTCGACATTTATTTGTGATATTCATTTTTGTGGTGTATTTAAATTCAGTAAGTATTTTCAAGGTTTTATATTATTATGAGAAAAGGATCGTGGTTGCGGAAGAGAAATCGGTAGAAGGAATTTGTCAAAACTAATTGATGACGTTACCACAAAGTTTTTTGTAGTTTAGACACGTACTAAGTTTTCATATACGGTATTTCTCCGTTACGCTTCTCTGTTACGTAACAGATATGAATAGGTAAAGCTGCGTATATATAGCAAATTTAATTGTTCAATAGAAAATTGCTAACCTATTTATTTTAAAATGTGGGTCATCTATTTATAAAGGTTTCAATTTATGCGGATATTAATATATTTGTAGATTATTGAGTTACAAAGTAATCATCAGTAAGTTATCAAATATTTTTAATATCTACTTATGTACTTAAAACTTCATAACATACGAATCTTGCATTGGTGCTGAGTTTCTGAAGATGTCACTAATGTTACACAGTGGAATTAGATACAACTGATAGATAAGCAGGAAATTGACTATTTACGGAAAAACTTTTCATTGTTTTAGAATTGATCGTTGAATCAATCTTAAAACTATGAAAAGTTGACTTTAGTAAATGCAGTTTTTAAAAACTAGAGGAATATCTAATATTACATATATGCTCCCATATCAATGATATACCATTTCATTTTCTCTTAAAAACCGGATGATAACAATTTTAATCAATAATGTTCAGATTAATTATTATAGTTACTTTTCATTTTTAATGTAAAATGGCATGATAGATATTTTACATTTTTAGATAAATTGTTGTATAGAGCGGGATTTAAAAAAAAGTATGTATAATAAAAATACAGGTAATGTTTACTTTTGTTTTAGATAAAATGCCATTGACATCAGCAGAGCGACAAAAAAGATATAGAGAACGTTTAAAGCAAAATAATCCTATTAAATGGAATGAAGAAAAGAAAAAAAGATGCTGAGAAAAAAAGAAGAAATTATAAAAAGATTTCTGAGTTATCAGAGACCGAAAAAGTTATAAGACGTAAAATTTGGCGGCAACTGAAACAAAAACAGTTGAATCACAATGACAAAACAGACAAAAACTCTAGTCGTAAAATATATAAAGAAAGATATTACAGAATTACCAAAGAAAATAAAAAGCAAAAAAAGAAAAATAGATATATTGAAAAAGCATGTAGATTCTCTAAGAAAAAGAGTTTATAGATACAAATTGTTATTGACATGTCAGCAAAATTATAGAGATGACTGTAAAGAAAATGTTGAACCTTCATTACCAACAACGCCAACTTCTTCAATATTAAAAACTGAGTCCTTCATTCAGCAGTTAAAAGATGTACCTTCACCAGAAAAAAGATAAAATAAGAAAAGTTATACTCGAAAAGAACATATTGAGCGAATGTTTAACAAACTCATACAAGAATGCTAAAAGTAACGCTGAAAGAAATATTTTAAAAAATGTAGTCAGCAATGCTGTGGTTCAAGAACATAAAATGAAAACTAGATTGGGTTACTGTATTGGTTTAAAAGGTCGGCCTCGTAATACAATAACACAAGAAAATACCAAACATGCAGTGTTTGCCAGCATAATACGAGATTTCTATTTACAAGATGATGTATCTCGAACAACTGCTGGGAAGAAAGAGACAAAGACCCTAAAAAAATTGAAGATACAAAAAAAGATATCTACTTGACAACGTAACTAATTTATATAACAAGTTTAAACAAGATACAGGAATTAATTTGTCTTACACGACATTTTTAAGAAATAAGCCCTTTTATGTAGTCAGGCCAAAACTTTCAGACCGCGATACATGCGTGTGCAAGAAGCATTCAAATATTGAATTAAAATTTGCCACCCTCAAAAAATTATCAGTTCTAATTGGACATAAAAGTATAAACGATCTGGTTAAATCTTTAGTTTGCAAATCAAACTCTCAGAAATGTATGTATGGGCAATGTACAATCTGTAAAGTTAAAAAAATAACATATGATTTAACTACAATTACACTTGATGAAAATGTTACATGGCTGGAGTGGTCTATTAAAAAAGTAGAATATAAAAAGAATAATTTAATAAAGAAATGTAAACGAAATGTAAAAGAAATTAAGACTGGCGCTTTAAAAGATTTAGTGACTAAATTTGAACGAGACCTACAGGATTTTAATATTCATTTATACAATATCAGCCATCAATACAAAATGTATAAAGATATGAAGGATAATCTTAAAACTAATGAAATTCTCTTACATTGTGATTTTTCGGAGAATTTTTCTTGTAAAATGTTTCAAGAGATCCAAGCCGTTCACTTTGGGGCCTCTCAATATCAGATATCTTTGCATACGAGTATGATATACCAAAAAAATAAAAAACCACAGAGTTACTGTACTTTATCAGATGCAACTGACCATTCGCCAGAAGCAATATGGGCACATTTAAAACCTATTTTAACCCACATAATTAAACAATCACCAGAAATTGACACACTACACGTTTTTTCCGATGGGCCAACGACACAGTACCGGCAAAAGAAAAACTTTTTTTTATTTAATACAATCATGAAAGATTTTGGTTTAACTGGGACATGGAATTTTTTTGAAGCCGCCCATGGAAAGGGTGCTGCCGATGGCGTTGGTGGTGTTATTAAAAGGCTTTTAGACAGTAAAGTGGCACATGGCAGTGACGTCCTCAACGCCGAATCTGCATATAATCTTTTAAAAAAAGAAACCAGCGTTAAACTTTTCTGCATTGATGAAGAGGACATAAACAGTATTAAGGAAGATTATAAGGCATCTTTGATATCGCTTATACCTGTCCCCAATAATATGAAAATACATCAAATACAAACTACAAATCATTCACACAATATTGCGTCAAGAATTTTAAGCTGTTTCTGTGCTCGTTCACCCAAAAGGGGAATGTGTGATTGTTATTTACTAAAGAATCATAACTTACTAAAACCTACAAAACGTGCAAAAAGGCTTCCATCAACATCTTCTGAATCAAGTGATCTCCCTGTTGATGAAGAAATTGTACCCGATAAACGTATTTTGTCAATAAAATCTAATAGAACACAAAATTCACAAGTAACTATTCTCTCCGATATTAAAGTTAATTATAACCGAGAAACATTGCAAAATCTAATAGGATCTTCAAAATCTTATAACATAGCTACAAATGATATACGAAAAGATTTTAAGGAGCTGATCACGCCAGATGAATTATTACCTTCTGTTTCTAATACCGACGGTAAAATAGGTGTCTTAAAGAAAACTCAAGACAAACGTCTTAATAATTTCTTTTTTCATTTATCTGATGATAGTGAAGATAGTTTCTAATACACATTTTTGTACACAACAAAATAAATAATAATTATGCTAATTTTGTGGTGTTGTATTTCATGCCACGACTATGGAAATTTCTTATATATTTCGAGGCTATACAAAAGTTTAGAATACTTATTCTAAACTATTGTATAGCATATTGTATGCATCACTTTTTAACGCAATATTTTAATAAAAATACAAAATCGCATTACGATGTCGTTTAAGTTAACTTTTATGTTTCAAAGAAGGGTGTTATATTCCTATATTGTTGTTATTGATTAATGTCACCATAAAGTTTCAAACCGGGATATTAATTATTTTTTGCCACTCCATATCAAGTGATTACTCAAAATTACTTTCCTAAATTAATTGTAATAAAGCAATTTTAAAAGTATTAAATTACTTTTTCTTACAATCATAAATCATAATCACGTTTTCTGCAAATTAACATCAATTTATTGTATAGGAAAGTAATTTTAAAAATAGTTATTATTTTGATATAATAATATAATATACAACCTTCAATTATCTATGCATAAATGATCTTTTTGTCTGTTTACTTCTATTAAAATTACTGATAATCAAAACAGCTTTTTATTAATCTCCTGGATAAAATGAATGACCATCTTTTAAATAATACTTATATTTAAATTTATGCATGTTATGTACTAGTCTTTACAATTCCTATATGTTATCATTTCTGTTACATTAGATTTATTTTCATATTTTTTTCATATCCGTAACGTACAATTATTATGAATAACACCCAATATTTACAGCACTTAATTATAAAAACGTTGTATAAATCTAGACACAAGGCAGTGTGTTGGTCAAGGTCAGAAAAGAAAGGGACGACGCTACGGAAATGCATGTATTTATACAAACCATTT